ATGTGCATACTTCTGAGCAAGGCATTAGGTGCCTGAAAGGCTTGTTTTAAGAAAAAAATTGACCCTACAATAACCTTCCATCCCTAATTCCCATTTCCATTATGATTAAGTAGTTTTAATGGAGCATAAAGGCTCTTTATACAAGGAGTTCTGGATGAAAAGCAGTGGGAGGGAACTGCTTATGTCTCAGCTGTAATGCTATTCTCTTCTGTCCTATCTGGTGCAAGGAATCCCCTTTAGAAAGAGCCTGAGTTCACTGGCATTTTGACCTCTGACCAGACTGGCAGCTATGAGGTTAAGCAGAGCAGAATTGATTGTCTTCTAGACTTTTGCAACTGAAAGGAAATGAATGTGGCATAGAATTAAAGTAGAAAGAGGCATAAGAACAAAGGAGCTCAAATTGTAAGGAGATTTATTTTTTCCCAACATAAAAATGTTCTTTTTTCTCTGATTATAAATATATATACATTATTATGTAGAAAATTCAGACAATACAAAAAGTATAAAGAAGAAAGTAAAAATCACCACCCATAGATGACAACTATTAACATTTTGGTGAACATCTTTCTAGACATCTTTGTTGTGTTTGTACAAACACAGACAGTTTATATAAGAGTATATGTAATGTGTATCATATTCCTACTGTTTATACGCACTGTATTCATTTAACATGTTTGTCATTCTATATCAATATTTCTGGATCAGTTGCATTCTTATTAAAGGCTAATATGGTATTCCATTGATTTAGCTAATTAAGATATTTCTAACTTTTGGATATAATAAATAACAATGCATTGAACATCCTTGTGCATACATGTTAGCTCATTTGTTTAATCATCTTCTCCTTAGAATAATTTCCAAACATTGGGATTATCAGGATCAAAGGTTATGCTCATTGATAGAAATTGCCAAATGGCAGTGGAAGACTACATGTGCTGTCACTACCCTCTTTAGGCTATAGATGCGATCTGTGGTAGCTTTCCCCTACGCTGTCCCTTGTTCTCTTATGGCCCCTTAGTTTGTTACCCAAGACTAGTTTTCACATATGTGAATATTCCACTACAATGGCCTGTACTTCTAAAAGAGAGATTGAGCAAGTTCAGTGTTATAAATTTTTGAGAACCTGCTATTGACTAATGCTTACAATTTACCACACAATATCAAATAAGTTATTTTAAGCCAATTACATATTGACCATATTATTTCAATGTACTCAGCTGTATGTTCAATGCAAGAAGTTTAAATTTGTGGTTTCAGGCATCATCCCACTTTTAATTAAGGTCACGAAGAAAATCAACATTTTTTGAATATCTATTCTATGCCAGAATTTTCTTCTGGTATCTCATGGAATCATCATGTTCTTGTGAAATAGTATAATCATTGCTGTTTTGCAGATGAGAAAATTGCAGTTCAGGGAGATTAAGTAAGCTGTCCACCATTACTTTGCCAGTAGTGGTGCTGGCAGAATTTGAACCTAGGTCAGTTTGAAAAAAACTCAAATCAACAGTATTAGGCAGAATGTAATTAAGTGGTAAATGGTAAAGTATATAACATAATGGTACTACAAGAGTTTGGAATGTGAGGAAGGGTCAGTTGTCGAGAGTTAATTTAAAAGACTTTACAGAAGATATAGGACTTGAGAGAGGCCTCAAAGAAATAGATGAGAGCAGGACAGGTGGGAATGATGGGCAGTGACCTCAAATGGCTTTATTTGTATCCTTTTTCAAATCAGCTAAAGATACCAGGAAAGTGGTTGTTTACTTAAAATATTCGAACATTTTATTTTGAAGAAGTCTTTTTCTCAACTTCTTCTTGTTTCAGAGTAGGAAGCAGTACTATGTAAGAGAGAGATTGAAAGTAGGTAGATACTATTACTATCCCTATTTTACACATGAGGAAAGTGAGGCACAGAGCAGTCAAGTGGTTTGCTCAAGATCACAGAGCTAATAAGATGAGGAACAAGACCTGAACCTAAGTCTAGCAGGCTCCCTAAAAAGCCCAGGTGTTTACCCCTATGTTGTACCATTTTTTTGTCACCCAGAGGGAAGCAGCCCAGTTCCCCAGTACTCCCAGAAAGGTCTGTGTGGCAGCCCGGTTTTTTCGAGCAAGGCTATTCAAGTGGTGCCATTATTTATAGGAAGAGGCAGCTTCCAGGGCTAGGTGGATGGTAGGTGTTTGGGGGACATTCTAGGCCCTCTGCATTTGTTCCTCGGAGTCTTTCTCTACAGTAGCTTCCTGAGGAGCAACAGAATGACTGTAGGAAATGGAAGAAGTTGGGTCCATCGAGTAGTTTTGCCACCCTGACAGCAAATGGTCACTGTGACCAGTCACTTCCCTCTCAGCCTCCTGGCAGTTCCTTCCCAGATGCCCTGACAGAGCTCAATCTCCTACGTTTGCCAAGGTTGAGTTGCGATTGTAGGGGTGCTACTGACTCCTTGAGGGTCTGACTCCTTGTGGCTCTGCTGGGGGAAGCAGTTGTTGAGCTGGTGAAAGGGTGCAGAACTCCCTACCACAGCATGCCTTGCCATGCCCTAGGGGACTATATAAGTTATTAGGAACTGGGTGGGGCCTGACCCATTCTTTTGAAGGAGGGAGAATTGAAGTAGATAAGAGTCACCCTGTGTGACATCCACACTTTGTTGGTGAGAAGGGAGGGCTGGGCCAGAGGCCTCGTCCTAAAGGGCCAGACTCCCAGCCCATTCAGGCTTCCTGAGGTTTCTCTGGCTACCTTTTGCATTTGGGGGACAGGGCAAGGCTAGAAGCTGGTTGGACAAAGGCAAAACAGCTTTAAAGAGTATTCCCATACACTGAAATTCCTGTTTAGTTAAAAAATGAACATCTCTCTGCCCTAGCATCCTTGTTTGTCAACTGGAGGTAACGTTAGTACCTGCATCCCAGGACCGTTGAGAGGCTCACACAAGGCGTGCCATCCTGGAAAGCACTTTGGCACTGGACCAGGCCTACTGTGTTTGCTCAGTACCATGTGGCTGCTAGTAGGGGCAGCAGTAATAGCGATCACAGATAAACAAGTAAAAGCAGCTTGCTCTTATCAATTACAAATCGTTTCAAATTATAATACTCATTGCTGACATCAGTGTGTGGAAATGCCGAGAGTACGGAGAATGGGGAACCTTAGGTGCTCAGTGGACATTAGCTTTGGCGGTAATCAGTATTACTGTTCTCATCCAGCCTCATTGAGTGAGATATTGGCTGCATGGGCCTCAAGGCTGAGAGGCAGTAAAGCATAGGGCATATAGTCTGGAAGCCCTGGCTACAATCTTTTTTGCCCACTTAATTGCTGCATAAACCTCTCTAAGCCTCAATTTCTTAGTCTTTAAAATGTGTATATCATAGTGCTTGCTTTGAGGGTTTTTATGAAAACTAAATGAGAAAATGCATGAAAATCATCTAGCACACTTATGTCACAATCAGTAAGCTTGAGATTATACTCAAGGCAGTCTGTCAGCTGCATCTCATAGCTTGAGCAGCATGTTCCTGGCAGTACCAGAAATCCTGTTCTGTGACCTTGAAATGCTTTGGGCCACTCTAGTAATAACCAGATACCTAAGGTACATGACTTCATTTAATCCATATAAGAAATTTAAGCAGTAACTAGAACTATCATCATTCCCATTTCATAGATGAGAAACCTAAGATGTAGAGAGGATGTGACTTGCCTGAACCCATAAATGGTGGAGCCAGAATTTGAACCCAGGAAGTTTGCTCCTGAGCAGTTTTTAACCACTTCGTTCATGCTTGCTACTTGGTGATTCAAATCCAGATCAGCCATTACCAGGGATCATTATAAGCTGTTGGACTGTGGACGGAATTTCTTTTTGTTTTACACTCAGTTTTCTCTTCTGCCCTGTCTACCTCAGAGAGTTTTCTATCTGGAGCAAGTAAGATAATGTGTCGGAAATGCTTTGAAAACTGGAAAGCACTATCTTAACACAGTTGGTAATATATCAAGTAGAAAAAACAAAACTTGGTAGAGTCCCAGTGATGGATTTTTCCACGCGAATTCCTTTGTGTGGTGCTCCTTTAAACACATAATCAACTCTCAAGCTATTTGGAAGGTATATTTGGAAGGAGCTGAGCTAGATAGGGGATGGCATGGTTGTTCCATATGCATTTAAAGAAAACTGTAACTTTGGTTGCATCTATTAGTACCCTTAAAGCTCATAGGAACAAAATGGGGTTTGGATCCTCTGTCCCCTGCCTTTACCTTGAAAGCCCCAGAACTCTACCTGCCACAAAGGAATGTTTTCTATAGGATGATTTAGTTTTTATGTTACACAGTTTGAAAACTGTTATGCAGAGCAGTAACATATTTTCCTCCTCTTAGCTGCAATTAGTATTAATTGTGAGTGAATTGCTCTGGAGTTACATGCAGCTACATTTAAAAATGCTTATCCAGTTTCACTTGAGATGCATACTATTTTATCACATGCCAATTAAGCCAAACAGTACACATTGTATTAATTAGGTCCAAGAGTGCAACTTGCAAATACAGCCAGACCCAAGAGGCTAAGCAGGGAGGGTGACACCTGCACTTTGGGGACTAATAAATATGAAGTTCATGACAAAATAGAAAATCTATTTTGAAAGAAATATCAGGAACTTGGAAAACTGTATGAAAGCAAATGCTATCTATTTCCAGGGTCCTGGACATGATCCTATGTTGACTATCAACAGTCTATGCTAAACATACTACTAGGAATCATTAATCAAACAACTGAATGTATGAGATCTCATTAAAAAAAAACGTCTAATGGAAGTCATTTTCTTCCAGGGAATTTTCTCAGTGACGAATCCACATCCTGAAATTTTTCTTGTTGCTCGAATTGAAAAGGTGCTCCAGGGAAACATTACGCACTGTGCAGAGCCCTACATCAAAAATTCAGATCCAGCAAAGGTATTTGTAAAGATTGTTTGTGAACATGTCAGCTTAATGTCGAATTTGCCTTTTACTGATATTCTAAATGGGATTGTCCGTGACTCTTAAAAAAAAAAAAACACACACAAAAAACAAAAAACAAACTTTCTCAGCATGCAGAATATTCTGAAAATATTATATACTAAGTGAGTATGCATGCTAAAGCTTGATGACTTTTTTCCCTTTTCATTTATGTTCAGTTTACATGACAATCTGATTTCTGCTGGCTTATCAAAATAAAAGTTAAAGGTTTTCAGCAACATCTGCTCATTGACACTCTATCCTTGACAATAGCCACCCTTTTTTTTACTCTCAGCTCTACAGACAGCCCTAGAATGTCAGAGCTGAGAGGAGAAAAGATGATCCAGTCCTACAGTTCCCAAATGCCAGTCTATACTCAAATTCACTCCTTTATGACGATGAAGTGAGAAAAGAAAGACAAGATAGTGAGCAGTTCATGAAGTTAAATGTATTCAATTCAAAAGGCTATCCTTTAATCTGAGATTTTTGCCCTTCCTACTTTGTAAATGTAACACTTATCTTTCATGAAGTGTTAGTATAGTAAGTGGTAGGGATTGTTTTTACTGTTTCATATCTTTAAATGGCAACATTAAAAGTCGGCAACCCATGTACACTCAAATTTCTAGACCCTGAAATCTAAACTTATGGAAATTATTGATTGAACCCTCTGCTTTCATGAGAAAACCGAGGCCCAGAGAGGGAAAGCATTCATAGCACAGTTCATAAGCAGGTCTCCAGCTACTGAGTATATATGAAGAGTCCATCTGCTGTATGTGGTATTTAGTTGTGTATCTGAATAGCGTTTATGACCTGGAAGATGCTGAGGAGACATGTGACTAATTTGTGAAGGAAAAAAAGTCTCAAGGTTATAGATAAAAGCCTTTAACATTTACTATCTCTAGAGATAAGCATGCAGCCAGCATTTCTCAGCCTGTTGAGATTCTATAGGCAGTTAATCTCCTTTGTCATCTCCCAGTGCCTGTGCATACAGAGGTTCCTGCCCACACCAAACTAATTGCATTGACTCTTGGTCATTTGGCTTTTATCTTGAGAGTAAAAAGATCAACTATATCCAGAACAAACTTCTCCAAAGCATGATCAGTGGCTGCCTGCTCATGTGTGAAGGGAAATGCACATTAAAAAGATTTAAAATTTAGTCCAAAACATGCCCTATGTCTATTTGTCTTTGCATATCTTGATGAAGGCTCTGTTAATGGGAAAACATAAAACCTTTAAGGAATACCAGTTTAGTGTTAGAATTCAGGTAGCCAATTTGTGTTGTGGTTTATTTGTAGCTACTATATATTTTTCCCCCCAGATTTTGATGTTTTATATCAGTAAGTTCGGGAAACTATTTTTCCTGTGAGTCCCTGGTAGTTTGAACAAATCTGAGCCCATCTTCTTATTTTTGACCCTTAGACAGCCCAGAAGGTGTACAGGACAGCTAAGCAAGTGTGCAGCCGCCTTGGACAATACAGAATGCCCTTTGCCTGGGCTGCCAGGTTTGTACATATATAATCCTGACCCTTCTGCTCATGCTTACATGTTAAATTGAGAGCTGTTGTCCTTACCAGCAGCATTTAGCAGTCTGTTTCTGACAAGCCAGTTATATCTTGGGTCATCTGGGATGTGGCTTAGTTCCTTTAAGCTGCTCTAACAAATTACTGTAGACAACGAGCATGTGGCTTAAATGACAGGCATTTCTCACAATTCTTGAGACTACAAGTCCCGAGATTAGGATGCTAGTATGGTTGGGTTCTGGTCAGGACTCTCTTCCAGGTTGGAGACAACTGACTTCTCTTTGTGCCCTCACATGGTGGAAAGAAGACTGACAAGCTCTCTCGCCTCTTAATTAGGGTACTAATCTCTATCATGAGGGCTCCACCTTTATGACCTAATCAACTCCCAAAGGTACCACTTTCTGATACAATCATCTTGGGGATTGCATTTCAATATATGAGCTTTTGGTGGATACAATCATTCAGTCCATAACAAAATTTAAATTTTTTTTCTCTTAGAATTTGCCGTGCATTGAAGACTCTTCCATTTCTTCATATGTCTTGCTTCAGGGAAATTTTCTTTGGCTTGGGTTACTGATGTGACTGACACATTTAATTTTATTGCGTTTTAAAGCAGAACTTATTTACTAAAGTGATAGAAGTTTTTTTTTCCAGAAAACCAGAAATTGTAGTGAATTATGTACATGTAGTATACCCACTATTTCAGAATTGGCTGGGTTTATGCTTTGAAAAACTATCACAGAGTAATTCTGGAAAACAAAAAATGAGAAGGCAAAGAATGTAGTTGTTCAGTGCAAGTATGTAATTAATGTAGATTTTCTTGCTTTCTGCTGACAGATTCGGCAAACCCCTCAGAGGTAGTGAATTTGGAAGTGTGTTATCTCTATACCACATATCTTATGGTAGATTACATGTTTTTCACCCAAACTTGCGAGTCTATATACAGCGATGATTTAAAATGTGTTCCTTACTTATCTCACCTTTGAAGTACAGGTTCATTGGCTTGTTTGTGGTACAGCCAGTACAGCTCACTAGAAGTTCTGGGGAAAGAGCACCATGTTCTGAATAATTCAATTATGTCCAGTAGGTGCTGGGGAATAGCATAAGGGTAGGAGAGTCTAAGTTAATTAACTCTTCTGTCACTTTATAATCATTTAATTTTTTAGAAGGTCTCAAAATGCATTGTATGTTGGTAAATGAAAAAGCACATTGTCTTTGTTCTACAGAATAGTACAACATGATAGCCAAGGATAGGTAAATTGCAGAGTGGTAGAGGGCAGTATATTTAGGCATTAAAGGTGAAATGTGGCTTGTAAATATAAGCATACTTAGTGATGCTCCAGCCTGAAAAGTCAATTGCTGCTGCTGCTGCTGCTGTTATTATTTATAGTCGCTGAGTGCTAACTCTGTACAAGGTGGTGGTCTAAGTGCTTAATGTATACTTTCTTAAGAGGTGGGTACTATTATCCCCATTTTTGAGATGAGAAAATTGAGGCGCAAAAGTAAAAAAAGAAAAAAAAATCTTACCCAGGTTTACACAGCATGTCTGTGAGCAGGGATCTGAGCCTACTCTAGACCACTGTGGCATACTGCCATAGCAGTAGCTGCTTCATGCTGTTTTGCCAGTAGAAAGATTAATTTTAAAATCTTCAAAATTAGAAGCTTTGATGCCCAGTTCTGATGAGGAATTATGCTATTTTTTTCCTTCCTGAATTATTTTAGTTGTCAGCAGTGGCAGGAACTCACTCTAGAGACTTGGCTGGAGTATTCAAAAGATGTATGATAAACGCCTGTTTACTGAAAATAAAGGAGGTATGCTTAAAAGTAGGAACAGTGGTTAATGCCTATAACCGCATCTGCAGAAGTTCTATCAGAGAAATTATGTTTCTGGCTATCGCTGCTTTTAGTTTGTTGGATACTTACACATTATTTCCCATTTTTTTTTGCAGTAAAATAGCTGCTTAAAAATGGGAGGGGGTGAAGGAATAATTCAAATTCATATTGGAAACTCTACATGTATTATAAACTCTATAAATTGATCTTAAAGATCTAATTTAAGTGTTATCAACTTTGAGTTACACTTTACCTTTGATGAAAATGTGCTCATTTTACATGTCCAACTTGACGAATTTTCACAAACATATACAGTCATGTAACTACCACCCCATCCAAGATAGAGAACATGTAAATCACTCCAGAAAATTTCCACACATTTCTGTCTAGTCAGCCATCTCATCCCCACACAAGCAACCACCAGTCTAATTGTTATAATTATACATGACTTTGATCTATTCTAGACCTTCATATAAGTGGAATCATGCACCCTTGCATTTGATTTCTTCTGTTCAGTCTGTTTTTTTTTGAGATTCATCCATATTGTGGTATGTATCAGTTGTTCATGTTGAGTAGTAGTCCATTGTATGAATACACCACTATTTGTTTATCTGTTCACTTGTGGGTGAATATCTGAGTTGTTTCCAGTTTGGGGCTATAACAAATAAATCTGCTAGGAACATTCATGTACTATGTGGAATGGTAGGATCATAGAGTAGGTGTATGCTTAATTTCCTGAGAAACTGCCAAATTATTTTCCAAAGTAGTTTCACTAATTTTATCATTGTTTATCAATCCTGTAGATTAAAAAAAAAAAAAAAACCTTCTGTTGCTATTTTAGACCAATTTTCAAAGATATTCAAGGCTCTCTGGATCTGGATGGGAGATTTTCTCCTTTGTATAAACAAGACAGTAGCAAGCTTTCAAATGAAGACATTCTCAAGTTCCTCTCAGAATACAAGAAGTAAGTGTGTGGAGTTATTTCAATAAAGCAATATAATAGATGAATTATAATTAAAATGATGAATGTGAGCCATATATGAGAGAAACTGAATGCTTAATAATTTAAGTTTGAAAAAAAGAAAGAAAATTTAAGTTTGCATACAGGGTAACCAGTGCATTTAGTAATCATAATTTTTAAGTATAAAATATTCTTATTTTATACCTAGGCCAGAGAAGACCAAATTGCAGATTATTCCTGGGCACCTAAACATCACCATAGAATGTGTTCCTGTGGATTTATCAAGTAAGAATTCATATACTGCAAATAAGCCTTAAGGACTATATCTGAATCTCAGTGTTTTATATTTTCTATATTTTTCTTGAAGTTTACATGGTGTATTAGTTTTTAGGGCTGCTGTAAGAAAGTATTGCAAACTGGGTGGCTTAAGATGAGGGAAATTTATTCTTTCATGGTTTTGGAGGCTAGAAGTTAAAATCAAGGTTTATGTTCACAAGCATTCACGAGTACAATGCTCTAAGGAAGAATCATTCCTTGCATGTTTGTAGCTTCTGCTGACTCCTGGCAATCCTTGGCAGACTTTGGCTTGTAGCTGTATCACTCCAGTCTCTGCCTCTATCATCACATGGCTATCTTCCCTTACCTAAGAGCACCGGTCATTAGATTTAGGGCCCACCCCTAATCCAGTATGACCTCATCTTAACTAATTTCATCTTGCAAAGACCCTGTTTCCAAATAAGGTCACATTCTGAAATTCTGGTGCACATGAATTTTGGGGGGACACTAACTCAACCTGGTACATATGGTGGTGAATAGTTACAGAAAGTTTATCAGGTGCTGTTAAATATATAATGTGTTGTGAATGTGTCCTGGTCACTTTCTACTGCCTTTTGCCTTGGATAAGTTTCATCAAAAAGTTCTTTTATTGTCTACAGATGAGGATCTAAGATCCCAAGAGAAAAATAGACAGAAAACACAAAAGACACTTTGCAGGAAATGAAGTGGCTAGTACATATTTGAAAAATGTTCAATCATTTTAATGCTACTAATGAAATTAAAACAGCAAGATGCCTTTGCTCATCTGTCAGCTTTACAAAACTGTTTAAAGTGACACTGGCTACGTTTTGGCCAGGCACCATCACCTATCACAAGCCGGAGTGCAATTTGTTAATAGTCATCTATAGAAGTCCATAACTAAGGCATTCTAATTCTGAGATTCTGTCTATCCATTTATTCACTGAATAAGAATTTATTGAGTAAACAATTATTGAATACCTACCACGTGCTTTAAAATTATGGAAATTAAAGTCTAGAGGGAGCGATAGACAAAAAATAAGAAAACAAATGAGTAACTAATTTCAGTCTGTGATTGGGGTGGGATGCTTTAAAAAGTGTGGACGAGGGGGCTTCCGGTCAAGATATCAGAGTAGATAAACACTGTGCTCGCCTCCTTTCACAACCACATCAGAATTACAACTAAACTACAGAACGGCCATCATTGGGAGTCGCCTGGAGTCTAGCTGAACAGAAGTCCTATAACAGGGGACATATAGAAGAGACCATCTCAAACTGGTAGGAGGAGCAGAGATGCAGAACAAGCTGGTCTCCCACCTGCATGTGGCAATTGAAAATTGGGAGAAATATCTTGGCTGTGGAGGTCCTCTCAGAAGAGCAAGGAGTCCTGGCCCAACACCAGGTTCCCCAGCCCAGGATTCCAGAGCCAGGAAAAGAAGTTCCCATACTTCTGGCACTGAAAACCAGAGGAGATTGTGGCTGAGATGAAGGGCCTCTGGAGTCACATAAATTCCTTTCACGGGGCCCACGTGCAGACTTAATTGCCAATGGACTCATTCTGAGCTCCAGCTCTGGTGCAGCAGCTCAGGAGGTGCCAGGGACATGTGGAGAGGAACCGAATTGTCTGGCTTCAGGGCAAAGGCTGGAGGGGCAGCTTTCTCCCAGACAGAAGTATTGGCAGAGGCCATTGTTTCTTTGTTGAGACCTGCCCTGCCCTGGTGATTTCCTGAGACCTCGCACTTCCAACTTGTGGGCCCACTCAAACTGCTTCCAGTGACTTTTCCATATAAATGGCCTCTCTTGGCTCATGCTGCAAATTTTCCTAAAATCTCTTAAAGGTTCACAAAACCAGAACAAGCAGCATCTGGCCTCAGGGTACACTGTACCTGTTGCTGAGCAGCCCCAACTCCGGCACTAGCAGTAGCTGGCCTCAGTTTGCAGCTTGGCCTCTCAAGCCACATCCAAGCCCAGCATGGGTGGTGGCCATCTGCAGATTGCTTGGTGGCTCATGCCAGGTGGTCCCAGGCAGGGCACAGCCCCTGCAGCAGGCCCCCTCCCAAGAGACCCCAGCCTGCACACCCAATGGCTGGCTTCTCTCTGAGCCAGAGTACCACCCAGGGTCACATGTGAGGACGGCATGCCCAAAGGGCAGACAGGGCAGACACCAGAGCCCTGCTAAAATGAATCCTGCTCTGTAGGGTCAGCCCCTGAACAGTAGCTCCTCCACTGGAAAGTGCAGAGTCCCAAACAAGATGAACCCAAAGAGGCCTACACTAAGACATATGATAATTAAAATCCCAGAGGTTAAAGACTTATCTTAAAAACAGCAAGAGAAAAACAAAATACCTACAAGGGAGCTCCCATAAGACTGTCAGCTGATTTCTCAACAGAAACTTTTCAGGCCAGAAGGAATCGTCAAGATATATTCAAAGTGTTGAAAATCAAGGGCCTACAACCAAGATTACTCTGCCCAGCAAAGCTATCATTTAAAATCAAAGGACAGATAAAGTTTCCTAGACAAGAAAAAGCTAAAGGAGTTCATCACTACCAAGCCAGTACTACAGGAAATGTTGGAGGGGCTTTTTTAAAAGAAGAAAAAGGAAATAAAAGATAAAAATATTTAAATAATAAAATGGCAATGACTACATATCTATCAACAATTACTTTAAGTGTAAATGGATTAAATGCTCCAATCAAAAGTTATGGTGGTTGAACTGATAAGAGAAGAAGACCCTTACATATGCTGCCTATGAGAGACTCACTTCAAATCGAAATAGACTGAAAGTAAAGGGATAAAAAAAGATGTTTCATGAAAATAAAAAGCCGAGATAGCAGTATTTATGCCAGATAAAATAGACTTTAAAACAATGGCTATAACAAGAGACAAAGAAGGACACAGTTATCCCACTTTTAGATATTTATCCAAAGAAACCCAAAATACTACTTTAAAGGGACATATAACTTCACATATTCATTGCAGCATTGTTTACAATAGCCAAGATACCGAGGCATCCTGGGTATCCATCAGTGGATGAATGGATAAAGAAGATATGGTATATATATGCAATGGAATATTACTGAGCCATAAAAACAAATGAAACCTTGCCATCTGCCACAACGTAGATAGACCTGGAGGGTATTGTACTGAGTGGAGTAAGTCCGAGAAAGACAAATGTCATATGTGGAATCTAGAGAACAGGATAAACAAACAAACAAAGAGAAACAAGCTCATAGATACAGAGAGTATTTTGATGGTTGTCAGATTGGGGTATGGAGGGAAGGGTGAAGAGAGGGGGGATTAAGAGGTACAAATTGGTAGTTACAAAATAGTCATGGGATATAGGATATAGCATGAGAAATATAGTCAATAATATTGTAATAACTGTGTATGGTGTCATATGGGTACTGGATTTATCAGGGCGATCACTTCATAAATTATATAAAGTCTAATCACTATGTTGTACACATAATATAATATTGTATGTCAACTGTAATTGAAAAAATAATAAAAATATAAAAATTTTAAAAAATTTGTGGCCAAGGAAACCCCACCATGTAGACAGTGGTTGGGACTATACAGCCCCCATTGAGAGCATTGCATATGTAAAGACCTTGAGGTGGGAGACAGCTTGGTTTGTATGAACGTAAAGCCACTGTGGCTCTCGTGTGGCATGTGACGGGAACGTGGGAGATAGAAGATGAAGTAGAAGTAGAAAGGGTCATGTTATGCAAGGAATTGTGTAGGCCATGGTACCTCCTTAAAAGATTAGATTTTATTCCAAGTGCAATGAGAAGTCACTAAAGGGTTGTAAGCAGGGGAGTAGCAATTTACATTTGAAAGCATTTAAGAGTACAATGGATTATGTTTTCCTAAAGAAATAATTTGAAATCTAGACAGTTTACACATAAAGATGTTCTTTGTAGTGTTGTTTATATTGAAGGAAAATTGGAGACAATGAAAGAGTCCAACACTGTTATAGTTAGTGATTAGGCAATTATGGTACAACGGTGTCATGAAATTTTATGAAACCATAAAAAATGTTTATAAAGCATTCACGGAATAAGACATGAGATAAAATGCCAAAAAGGGTAATAAATTTCTATACATAGTAGGATTTTTGTATTATATAAAGTATACAGAGAAAGAAGACCAGAAGAATGATTACTTGTGTCTGTGTATCTTTACTCCTGATATTTTATTGTAAGTATCACTATAATCAGAGAAAACCCCACCCAAAACATATACTGTGTCCTCATGTCTGACTCTCCCTGGGTCTTCCTTCTGTCAGTATGGCTCTGCAGCAAGGAAAAGCAGTCTTAGAGCTCCTTAAGTATATGAATAATCTTTACCACAGTGGCTACTTCAAAAACATACACTGCTACATTTCTCAAAGGCTTTGAGTTTTCATGCTCAAGAGTATTGAATTTATCATTGATAACACATCATCAGGTCTGTAGATTCAAAAGGCTGCCATTATTTCGTAGGTGAAAATTTGTACCTGCACCAAGTTAACTTTTTAAAAGTTTTTAGCCATGAGATAATTGGAGGCATAAATTTTCTGTTATTTCCCTGATACCAATTAAAATTTGCAGTGAAAGTGAAATTGCTGCCACAGGAGGAAAAATGTAATGAATTTCTTTGTAGAGTTTAAATTTGCCAAAATTATGATGTGTTATATTTGGCAAATCAGTCTAATCTACACTGAGATTGAAATAGCAATCCATGTCTGATTTGAAGGATTCCACTGAAACCAGCATCAGACTACCCCATCTTGTCCTTTTGGGCTCTTTAAAGTGGTTGTATGACATTTTGTCAATCACTAAAGATTCTCTTTTTGAAATCCTTCCTTGAGAACACAATCAATGTATATTTTACAAATGTAGGAATGTGTTAATGGTTGTTAAATTGTATTATCTTTGTCTTTTTTTTTTTGCCTATAGATTGTATTACTTCTTCATATGTGCCCCTGAAGCCTTTCAAAAAGAATTGTCAGAATATTACTGTGGAGGTTGAAGAGTTTGTTCCAGAAATGACAAAATATTGTTATCCATTTACTATTTACAAAAACCATCTGTATGTATATCCCTTGCAATTAAAATACGACAGCCAGAAAACATTTGCCAAGGTAAATAGTGTAAACTATATACATTTTGGAGTATGAAATTTTATTTATAATTTTCTCATTCCGTGACTCATTTTGAGTGATTAATCATTTTAGGCAAGGAACATTGCGGTCTGTGTGGAATTCCGGGATTCAGATGAAAGTGATGCCAGAGCTCTAAAGGTTCGTTTATCATACTGATAAGCATTTTAGTAGAGATAGAATTTTTGGTAGAACTAGAGATGTTAATACTTTCATATGCTAAGTTTAATTTCTTTAAACATCCAAATGAAATGTGCTAAAGTGACAAATGTAATATTTTTTCCTACTCTTACACTTAGCTGTAAGGATTAGTTAAATATTAAGAAACAACAAAATAAGGTAGGAACTTTAAAAATGGGTAAGCTTCATATACCAGAATTTTGCCTTTGCTCCACTTTGATTTTGCATTCACTGATGCCCAAGCACAAGGTCATTTTCTCCTATGACCTGACGGTTTATAATAGTACCATCAGGAGAGAATAAAAACCTTTCTTTTTGAAACCTGAACGGGCTTTGAGCTAACAGAAGCACAGCATGACTCCTTTGATCTGAGATATGACTTCTACTCTGTGACTGGCCAAATGGTGCCTCTAAAGTTGGATTAGTGATCTATGAAAAGCAGCATCTCAGTATCTCAGTATCTGATACAGCGATCCTTAAATACCTGTGACTTCACAGTGCCTTTACCTTTTCACTCTTTATAGCTGGTTTTTACTTTTTAGCCCATTAATCTGAGGCCTGAAAGAGAAGTTGGAACATTTTACTGTCACAGAGTGTTTATCTGGCTTCCCAGTTCTCTAGCTTGAGCCTAAATCAGACAGATGGGTGGCTAGCCTTCCACTCAAACCACCTAAGAGGCTAGAATGCCCCTAAGTCTTTGAGTGTTTAATAGTCCCTACTTTTGAAGAAATTTTTTTTCCACAGAGAAACCTAAGTTAAATTAAGTATTAGCTGGCTCAAATTAAGCTTGTTTTCTCTGATTCTCCCCTCAGTGCAGATGAGAATAACTGTAATATCCCATGCAATATCCTTTTGTATACTTTAAGATTCTTAGGTTACCTCTCAGCAGTTCCTGAAAATGGCTCTGTGCTCACATGGAGTTTCAATTTCATTTTTTAGCTGGCCTGGAGGCCAGCTCTGAAGTAACAGAGTAAGGCAATTAGTACTCTGGCATGCTTACTCCATATTCATCCTTGAGCTTATTAGGCCTATGGAAGTGAAAACTCACACTAGAAATGAAATCGAATCTTTCTATGGAATCATTGAAAGCCTTAAATTTATTTTATTGGTATAACGGAAAGCCAGTGACTTTTAAAATGTGGTTCATAAACTGAGAGAACAGTAAATTTTCTGTAGCTTACTTTTTAATTCCTTTAGGCTAGGAATGTATCTGCTGTTTTTTGTTGTTGTTGTTGTTGTTGTTGTAACTCCTCACCTTGCCTACTGCACAACAAGCATTCAGTAAATGTTGCTGACTGGCTGAATGGGAACTTCACATATTAAGAAATGGAAATAGCAAGAGAAAAGTAAGCTTTCCAGGCCAGGATTGAGAGTTTTTCCCTTCCAAAATGATTAGCTGTGTTTGACTTCTTACTGTCAATTAGTTTGGATTTGCATTTCTTTGATGACCCGAAATTCAGTAGCATCCACGCAGCCAAGTTAGGCAATGTCTGAGGATGATATCGAGTGACTGTAAATGATTTGGAATTTATAAGCTCATGGTGAGAGCCGGGTGGGCTTGGCCATGGCCAGGTGCTCGCAGATGCCTGTAACTGTATGTGGTTCCTTAGCATCATATTTGAAGACCTGTGTTGAGAGTGGTGACTTTGTTTCTTTCTTTTGCAGTGTATTTATGGAAAACCTGCAGGGTCTGTTTTCACCACAAATGCTTATGTTGTTGTTTCACATCACAACCAAAATCCTGAGTTCTATGATGAGGTAAAATACATTATTCTAATGTTTATAAAACAATGGTTGCTCTTCTATTTCTCTTTGAGATGTGTCCTTCATTTTATCTGTACTTTCAATCCCTGACTGTTTTTATTCCTTGAAAATAGAAAATGTAATATCAAAATAAAGGGCCATTGCCTGCTTGCTGCCCTTTGATGACAGTGGAAGATTTGCCCACTAATTGAAGGGCTCTAGCGTGAAGTAATAATGTAGGAAACAATCACCAAACTGGGACTAGGATTCTGTTTGCCCTAGCTTTCACAACAACTGTCTCTGCGCCTTTGATCAAGTTACTTCCCCTTTCTGAGTCTAGTTCCTTCTAGCTAGTTCCTGTAATTCTGTGTGGGAAGGTGCAGCCTCTCTGTAAGTGAAATGCTTCAAGAGACAACAGCATGGTTGGGCCACCAGAGTCCCACTGGCTGCACTAAATGCCTCTGTGCAATGTTGAGTGGCACGATCTCTCGGTCTATGCGTTCCTTTCCTCAGACCCAGTCTTCGCCTCTTTCCTTCTTCCCACTTCTCTGTCTCTATGTCTCTGTGTACTTCCTGGTGGCTCTCTTAGTGTCTCTGTCCCAGCCTCTTCCCATTTGTATGTATCTGATTTATTCAAATCTGCAGACTGGTTTTGATTCCCACATGTCTTCATGGCACCTGGCTGTGTATCCCAGGCCAGAAACTGTGCTGTTTCTGCTTCTCGGACCTCATATTTCCATTCCTATCTTTATCTGGAACCATCCTTTCCTGCTGTCACAATGTTCCGCAGGTCCACCTGCAGTCGTGTGGAGGCCTTCTACTCCAGCCTTAAACCTCACCTATCTCTTTCTCAATCCAGTGCCCCTAGTTTCACAGTAGACAGGGAGGAGGATAGTGGCCTTGCATTTTTGCCACCCAGGGAAGGACTATGACCGTATTTATATGTACAGCAGAGCATTAGATACCCAGATGGTCTGAATGCTGTGAATAGGCATGTTCTGTGGTGAAATATACCTACAACAGAAATTAGTTATAACATCAGAACAATGCCATGTGTGAATGATAATTAGGCCAGATGTCCCTCACCAAGCTGTTCAACGTGTCCCCCTATATAACCAATACCAGTCACTACAGAAAACTTGATCATGTAGTACGTAATTCATATTATCTTTAGGATACCAGAAATAAACAGGCTTTTCAGTCATTTACTATATATTGACCAGGAAAGCATGTGTGCATGCACACACATGTGTTTGCATGTGTTCCTGTGCAGATACATGCATGTGCATTAAATCAATTAGATCTGTGATTTGTTTCTCATACACTTCCAAGAGGCATTACAAACATTCCATTGAGTTCTGATTGGAAAATTACTTGAGATGTTTATATTAAAAGTATTAATTTTTAGAATGAAATCCATGTGTCACTGATAACAATTATTTCTTTATTCAAGGATAAAGTTGTGTTTTCTTTTTAAAGAAATTCGTATGAACTGTAATTTGCGGATACCATAATACTGTAGTGACTTTTTGCACTTTTATTTGCACAACTTAATTTTTTTTTCATGCAAAGGAGAGCAGCAACTTAGAAAAAGGTAACCTGTCAAATTCAGTGCCCATTTTAGACTGCATTCACTGACTCAGATTGAATTACAGAGCATCCCTGGACTGTGAGAATGTAGTTTTTCCTCCAGTATTTTAGAAAATCCTGCTGTGAAGACGAATGCAGGAGAATCCCCTGGATTTTCCTGTAAAAGTAGTAAATCAGTCCTCACAACCCAGAATATTGTTGTCAAACAAACTGACTAGGAAAGCATTTAGAGTGCATTTAAATAATATATATTTGACTACTTGGCCTATCATTCAGAAAAGTATGTCATTGGAAAAGTATGATGAAACTGACTAAAGGACTGACAGTCCAGCTTGATCATTAAAACAAAACAATTCTACATGTAATCTTGTTATCATTTCAGATTAAAGTTGAGCTTCCCATTCACTTGCATCAAAAACATCATTTGCTTTTTACTTTTTATCATGTAAGTTGTGAAATTAACACAAAGGGAACAACCAAAAAGCAGGACACAGTTGAAATTCCAGGTATGTGTGTGCTTTTAATGTCTCTCTTTAGCTATTTGAGATGGAAATTGTCTATAATATAGCCTCTTTTCATTAAGCCACAGACCATACTTTCCTCCCACCAATAAATCCATTTCTGAGTTTAAAAGTTTATTGGTAAAAAATGAATTATATGCTACTTTTATCATCATTTCTATCAAATGACCAAATGCTTGCCATTGTGCCTGGACTATCATAAGCAACATAAGTAACAGTGCCTTCCTCAGAGAGAGACTCATATTGCCATGCTGTATTTTTATTATTTCTTTTATGTAGAATAGCCCAGGAACCAGAATTTTCCAGTTCTGTTCAATGAGGAAGAGGGCTAGGGGCATTTTTGTGGGATATTGGGGGCTGCCTGGTTCTAATAAGAGAACAGATTTAATGAATTCGAATAAGCGTGGGTAGTGAAAAAACATGTCCTGGTCTCATCCAGCAAGGCTTTAGATAAACCAACAGGAAGCATTGATGAGGAAACATACAAGTCCCTATGAACATGCGCAGTGTCACCCACAATATAAATGTCAGCATGCCCTAGGATTTTGATCCAAACTAACCTGGATCAATCCTAAATTCATCCATTTAGTCATTCATTTAGCAAAATATGTCTGCGTATTATATGCAAGATGTTGTAATAGGTACTATGGAGAATACAGTGGAGAGTCAAGCATAGATCTCATCTTCAGCGAGCATATGATCTAGTGTGGTGGGGAACATAGACCTATGTAGACAACTATAATACATGACTGAAAGTAGTGGTTATCAGGAAAGTAGTGCTATGTGATCTCAGAGAAGAGAGAGTTATTATTTCCACTGGTGTAGGGACAAGTGGCTGGGAATCAGGGAAGGCTTCCAGGAGGAGATGGTGTTTGGGTAAGGCCTTAAGGGGTTGGGTAGAGTATGATAATGCAGTGATGACGGGAAGGTAGAGGGTTTCAGGATAAAGCAACAGTTTGTCCTGAGTACAGAGGCAGAGTATTGAGGAGTATGGGCAGGGAATTACAACTAGTTCAATACGACGGAAGCACAGGGTGCTGGGAGGGGAATCATAGGACATTGAAAAGGAGATGTCAGATCGTGGAAAGCCCTGAATGCCAGGCCGTATATTTTATTTTATTTTGTCACCAATATGGAATTATTGAAGGATTATAAATACCAGTAAGGGCTATTTTGCAGGGATTCCAATCAGGCCACAAGGTAATGAGTAAGGTGAGTTGGAGCAGGAAGAAGGAAGGAAGACACAGCAGTTGGGGGATATTTCAAAAGTCCAGGAAAGAAAGAGGAGTGCACAATGGTAGTAGCAGGGGGATGGAGAAAACAGGAATTGCAGAAGAAGAATATATTGGACCTGGAAAATGATTGGCTACTAGAGAGATGATTCAGTGTTAGTGCTGAAGTTGCAAAACTGAAAAGAAGGTGCAGTTGACCCTTGAATAATATGGGTTCCAATTACGTGGGTCCACTTAATTGTGGATTTTTTTCAGCTGACCTGCTCAGTTCAAACCCGTGTTGTTCAAAGGTCAACTGGAGGTTGGGAATCAGTGTATGCAGAGGACCAATTTAAATATACACAGATTTTCAACTGTGTGGGCAGTTGGTGCCCCTAACCCTCATGTTGTTCAAGAGTCAACGGTATTGCCATGTGACAGAATTGGGAGTGAGAGTGGTCAATTTTGGACTGATGTTGAGTTTGAGGTGTTAGTGAGACATCTGAGTGATGTCTGTCCAGCCAGCGGCAGAATGGAATATTAGGAAGTTCTATTTGTGGATAGTGTGATCTTGTTCTGTATCCCCATAGAAACTATAGTTTGTTCAGGACAGAGACCTTGAGGTTTGAGAAGAAATCTGGCAGAACAATGAGAATCCATGACAGTGTACCTCCGGAAAGACCAATTCCTATTTCTTTATCCAAATCCTAGACAGAAGTAGACAAGATGCTCAGTGCAGCATGAGACGATTATTTGATGTGCCACTCATCACTTTTAACTGTCCATCCTTGAATTGGCTTCACACCTTTGAGCCAGATGGCTTGTGCTTGACATTGTACCTTTACATCTTCCAAGTGCTCTATATGAGTTTTGACTGAGAAAGACACACTTGGCCATGCTGTGATGAATTCACAATGCAAAAATCTTGCCTGAGCAATTTCATCAAGACACAATGTAGATTAGTGGTGGTCAGGGACTGGGGGAAAAGGGAGATAGGGAGTGACTTCTAAGGGGTATGGAGTCTCTTGGATTAGATTATCTAGAATTAGATAGTGGCAATGAATGCACAGCTTTGTGAATATAATAAAAAAAACCATTGTATATTTTGAATTGTATCTGAATTATATCTCAGAAATCTCTTTGAGGAGAAAATGTTGCCTAAGAATAAGAAATGTATTTTCTTTTCATTTTCCTATTTTCTGAGCTGGAAACCTTTGGTCATTTGTCTAAATTTCAGTTTAACTACTTTGACAGAGTCCTTTTGAATGGCTCTTCTGCTCATGTTACTTTCCTGTGCCTCGTATAAAAGAAGAGGTCTGGTAAACCATTTCTGAACTTGTACTAGTAAACATGCCCTTTAGGCAAGTTCTCAGAGTCTGAGAAAACCATTTAGTCTAAGAGAAAACATAATTAGTATTCTTTTAAGAATTAAAGAACTTGCCAAATTACATACATGAATGAAAACATTCTAACCAGATTTGTGTTGACTTCTTTGTTCACAGTATAAACACATACACACACACACTCATGCAAAGAATTTTAAAGAATCAGAAAGCAATGGCTTTAAAAAGTGCTTTCCAGCCAATACCCCTTCTCATACGCCAAAACTTAGTCCAGAGCAAGCTTCCCCGCACCGCCCCTGCACCCGCCGCCCCACGGCTGAGTTTAAACACTTGAATGCTAGAGTAATCTCTATAATGGAAATATGGACACAGATGGTTCTGGCTTTTTTAGCCAGAACGTGATGAGTTTTCTAACAGAAAGCCTAAAGGCTCTTTTGGATAGAACTGTCAAGAGATGGTGGAGATCTCAGTGGATTCATCTGTAAACACTGTGCCCTGACTACATTCTCCTACAACACCTCTTCCTCTGTAATCAAGAAAACTGCCCAACCAAATACAGCTTTGTGTAAATGTGGAATGCGAATTTGACTTGTGACCTTAATCTTCCATAGTTCTTACCTTAGAGTTCCTATAAGAAATTTTGGACCCTGGCGATTACTATCTGACATAGGCTCAGGTATGGGACTGCACTCTTAGTAAGGATGGATGAGAGAGATCTGAATCTTTAAAAACTAAGTCTACCCGAAGTTATTCCCAAAAGTGTAAAGATAATGATATTGACACACTTTTCAAATTTTAAAGTGTTTTACATTATCCTACTTTGGTCTCTCAATAATTTTATTAGATGGAAAGGCTATGTATTGTTCCCATTTTTATTATTTTTATTTTTGTTGTTCCCATTCTTATAGTCAAGGAAACAGAGTAACCTGTTAGTGGCTAGGCTGAGATTAGGAAGTGACCCGAACTCATGGTTTCTTTCCCAGTACTCAGATGCCCAACACCTGGACTGCTCATGCACATCCTCAGAAATATCACCACCATGTCCCGCTCCCTAGCAGTTAGACATTTGTGTAGTTAATAGTATTTCTGATTTCGTCTCTCATGGTTGATTATTGTCTTGGCAGTTGGCTTTGCCTGGGTACCTTTGCTGAAGGATGGCAGAATCATCACATTTGAGCAGCAGCTGCCAGTTTCAGCCAATCTTCCCCCAGGCTACTTGAACTTGAATGATGAAGAATCAAGAAGGGTAGGAAAATATCAGCATTTGTTCAAATAATCATGATGAAATGTTGAAAAAGTACAATTCTTTGGCCTAGTTGATAGTTTGGTCTAGTTGATAGCAGCTCAAGGTGTGGCCTGAGGAATGGTGCTGGTTCATCACAAAGGAAAGTATGAAAAGCAAGTGATTAGAAACCTTTATAATAGTCTGATAAAGTAGCCTCATGTCTTGATTCTAATAACAAGTTAAAATAATGGGGCTTGGACTTTGTGCATCATTTTAAATATTCATTTATGTTGTAGTTGATTTTTATTGTAATTTATAAAACTATCAGTCAGCAAAGGATTGGAAATTCAAAATGATCTAGGATACATTTATTCTAAAGGCAGGTTATTTTCTCCAATAATTCCCTTTGTGTGAAACTAACACATTTGTTTCTGGGGGAAAAAATCTTGAAATCCATAAAGGTGTAATATGTTGCTCATCTATCCATTGCTATGCTATAGAAACTCATGTATGTATTTTCTCTTCACAGCAGTCTAATGTGGATATAAAGTGGGTAGATGGTGCAAAGCCTTTGCTGAAGATTAAAAGCCACTTAGAGTCTACTATTTACACTCAAGTAAGTTGCATCAACTGAATTTTGCCACTTTTAATACTCAAGTATATTTCTTAATTAAAATAGACTATTTGATTTCTCCAGCCTTAGAGAAGTGGCCTGAAAGTCTTTCTCATTAGTAATAACGTTATAGACATTCCAATAGATGTTCCTCTATTGGAATTTGTCTGGTGTTTTTCTCCTGGTTAGACTAGAGCTGAACACAGAAATTTGAAGTCAGTAGATCGTGCATGGGTGGCTAGCTGCTACAGTTGACTCTTAGCCTCAGCACCCATGAATTTACAATCAAATGTCTGTGGGAAACCTCAAGCCCAGTTTGGAAAATCACAGATAGAGAAGGTGAAGTCCATGCTCCTTGGTGTGGCCTCCCACAGTCCTTCTCACTTCTCCCTGCCCACTGCACCCATTTTATAGATGAAGAAACTGAGACTCAGTCCGGTTAGATGATTTACCCAAAATCACACAAGTAATAATTAGAGGAAGCAGATCAAAATCCAATTTTCACTATTCCAGCTCCTGATAGAGTTCATGCTGTCTGCAAGATCAGTGTATATAGATTCCATAGAGGACAGCTGGACTCATTTGTCTATGAAGTGCACTGAATGCCTGAGACTATTGTTCTGGTATCCTCCTGCTGCTATCTTTTCATTACCTGCCAGTACAGACCTCTGTTCCTGCTCATTTTATTAAAATGTAGAAGCAGCCCGACTTCAGAGACTACACTACAAGTCAGAAAAGGAATTAAATGAATGTTGACTAGTTGGGCATAAGTTGCAGCTTACTCAGTGTGCTCAGGTACATCTTGAATTTACCTGGTCTTGCTGCTCTGTGTGACGGTCAAGAGGCCTGTAGGGCATGAACACATGTGTTGGTAGCTGCAGCTGCTGAGTCTGGGCATTAGAATACCCAAATAAATAGGTTTGCAAGATGGAGGAGGAGGGGGAGGGAGTGAGCCTGCATTTGAGAGTAATGAATCAAATTTCATATGGTTGCACCCATCTGTTTTCCAGGATCTACATGTGCACAAATTCTTCCATCATTGCCAGCTGATTCAGTCAGGCTCAAAAGAAGTTCCAGGAGAGCTCATTAAATATTTAAAGGTAAATGAACAGCAGCTTTCTGCGAAGGGTTTGTTTTTTATGTCTTTCTGTTACCACATCTTGATTTTGGGGGAAAGAAATCAAACTAACACTTTAAAATACTTGTGCATCCTCAAGAAAACACTTTCCATTATGTACTTTTCGATCAAGTGGCTGTTGAGAAACAGACAGCAGAGTTGCTAAATTCGGAAGAAAATGCTATAGTCAGAATGTGACGACATATTTTGGAAAATCTCATGACAATGTTTATTTCCGTTCCGTAAATTGATTTTTCAGGTCT